CCAAAAAAAGCACAAACACACACTTTCCCTTTTCTGTAAGTTTGAGCTTTATCTGTGAAACTCATGTTACCATTTTAAACTTTGCCGGTTCAGGCTTGAAGTAATGATTCTTTTTATGTGATAATAATATAGTATTAGCTGATAATTCATGATGCTAAGGTGACATAAGGTGACCTAACGTTGTTTGCCTTTCTGCTTGTATTTCCAGGCTCTAAGTATTTATCAGAGGAGAGACCTCATCACTGTTTTCCATGGGAAGCAGGAGGGAGCCGATGACTTTGACACAGTTCTTCTAAAAGCACTGGTCAAAGGTAGGTGGTACCAGTTTGCTTAGGGGGGATGTTTTGAAGTGCACTTTAAATAAATTTTAGGAAAATAAAAGCATATCTAAAAGTTTTGATGAACTTCAAAAATAACTAGCTTTTAACCTGGATGATTCCAGTCACTAAAGGACTGATCCAATACCTGATGGCGCTAGACAGGCTAAGGCTAGCGAGGACGTTGCCGTCACTTTAAGGTCATGCCCCCTGGACATAGAGCATAGAGCAGTGGTTTCTAGAAAGGCTAGATGACCCAGAATCCAGGCAAGAGAATCAGCAAGAAGAGGCTTGCTGGAAGGTCTACCAAACAAATAGCTTTCAGTTACCAACTAGGAAAGTCAGAAATATATAGTGCTTCTACGAGGGTTAGTACAGAGATTAACTCCCAGTAGACACAAAAAACCTGGTTTAGACTTAGACGACTTTTATTGTCATTCTGTGTATACTAAACAAAATTTGGTTTTGCTCAGCATTCAGACGGTAAATGAGCAGTAGTTTAACAGCCGCACATCATAAAGTGCAGCAGTGATCAAATGAAAACATTGTGGGAGAAAAAAAAAGATGGTGCAAAAGGCACTGATCTGGAAGTTCAAAGATCAGGAGCCAACAAATATATTAACCAACAATACGAAGGCAAAATGTGGGTAGATTGAAAAACACAGAAAAGGTAGAGAGAGAGCAGAACGTTAGAGATTGAACTAACAGATTCTGCAGAGTGGGAGAATAGAGATAGAATGAAGCAGAATGATGAAAAAGGGGTC